ACCAGAGAGGTCCAGGCTTTGCTCACAGAGAGCAAAATGCAGGATTGTTATATCTGCCTTTGGTTTAAAGGCCAATCCATTTCTTAGACTTCATATTTTGCAATGTTCATTTGCGTTTGAAGAACAAATTTCCACATGAGTGATTTTTGAGGGGTGGGAGGAATTCCAAAGACTTTAGGAGAAATAATATTCAGCATCCTGAAAACATACAAAGTGAAAGCTTTGCGCTAACCTTTGGTGTTATCTTTAATCCACTGTGCCTTTAATTTATTCTTTGTACTTGTCATATTTCACTTCTTGGTATGTCACCTTACCCTTTTGTATCCTTCTGCTTTTCTTCTGGAAATGCATTGTTTCCACGAAAATTCTGGGTGGCCTGCTGGGGGCTTTTATTTGGTTGTTGTTTTTTGCTTGGCTGCTTTTTCCTTGATTGGTTGATTTTTTGGTTTTTGGTTTTTTTGTGAAGCCATTACTAAGGCTGTTTATATACTCACACCATGATTTATAAAGTGGGAATAAACATGTACAGCTACTATCACTTCACATTACACAGACTGTACATGAACACTGGGACCATGTCATAACTGAAAGAGGAAAAAAATCCAAAATTAATGAAAAGTGAAGTATCTTATTTCAAAACCTTTACTGACATTACAGGAAGGGCAAAGGCCACGAAGTAGATGGATGAAAGAGGAGAATGAAACAATGATCAGCCCTGTAGTTTTGGGAAAGTACAGTGTCCTTAAGAAAAGTGTGCACCCATCCTCAGGTGTAAATGGAACTGACCTTCAGCGGAAATATATCAGTCTTCACTTGCTGGGACCCAGGTTCATCCATATATGTGTATTAAATCTATTTTAACAGCCGAATGAGTCCCAGCTATTGCACCATAGTGAAACGGGCCATTTCCTGTTATTTTTTGGAAAACATTGTAAAAACAGGCACTGTTTTTACACACAAAAACCAGTAGGAAAAATCAGCTGTTAAGATTTTGCTCTCAAACACATTGCTGTAAGCCTGCAAAAGCTCTGCAGGCAACAGACCCACTGTGATAATCTGACAACAGAACCCAGACCATCCATGTTGTGATGCAAAGCTCATTTGTGGCACAAAGTTTACATTGTACGCAAGTGGGTTTGAAGTTAAATTAGGATGCCTTCAGGGAGGCACAATAATACAAAGTGGAACTAGAATGAGGGGGGAAAAAAAGCCATATGCTGAGAAATGGTTATATCTGCCAATGCTTTATTTTATTATTTTTTTTTTCCCAAAGGCAAAAGCAGTTATGGCAAAAGTTGGTTACCCTCAGTTTATAATGAATGACACATATATTAATGAAGACATCAAAACAGTAAGTGTCAGACTTGCAGATTTCTTCTTTTACATATTGCATCCATCTTCTACATATTGCATCCATTCTTTGCTCTGTTTCGCTGCTATCTAAAATCAAAGCTCCTCTTTTGTTTGGCATGCATCTGGAGTTGCCTGGTTATTTTTAGAGGTTGAATTAAGCATGCTAGCTCTCATGTCTAAGTTGTCAATCCCTGTGTGTCTAAGTGAGACAACCGTGAGGTCTGCTGAGAGTAAAATGTACTTGGGTGCAAAGAACCTTCCTGCTATTAAGCATTTTAAAGGTTAAAGACACGGTCATAAATTTTGCAATTAGTTAGAAATGAAACAAAAAAAGCACATTTATCTTCAAAGTAATTGTCTTCAAAACCAGTAGTGCATATTTCCTCAAAATATCAATTTATAATACCCTACATAAGCTCCCCTCTTCAGGCTATGATTTTTTTAATGACTGTTGCTCATAATTGTACCTTGAGATCCTAACCGATGTATAGGCCTGCTGTGCTGGTTGCTGGACAAGGATACTGTGGGGGCACTCCTTCCTGACCTACTATCTGTTCAGCCTAACTAAGGCAGGACAGCAGATGATGAAGAATAATATATTTTACCATTTTCGAAAGGGGAAAATGTGGCATGCACGTCCTTAATTTTATTCTACAAACAAAGTAGAAGCACAAACTCAATCTTGAACCAGTAAAATACAAGAGTGATAGTCATCTTAGCCAGAGAAAATGAACAGACACTAAACAGAGACATAATTTATAGAGAAAACTTTGAAGAAACAACTCTACAAACCTAGTCCTTGTTCCTGGAAAGAGCAGAGTGAGATGGTGCTGTGAAGGCAGTGTAATAAGACGGAGGATGTGACCAACTTTATCACTCACTGTATGGACTTTTTTTTCCCAGATAAGTAGTAATGTCTAGTAAAAAGCTCTTCTTGATCACAGTTGCAAAACCATAATTTACGTCTGAAATGCCATGTCCTCACAAGTCCCTGTATTGCTTGAAAATGGTGACAGGGGTATCACCTGGGTTTAGAAACTTGTAGCATCCCTTTTTCTTGCATGGTTAATTGTGTGCATGTATAAAGGTTGCTGTTAGATTTGGAAGTTTATGGAAGCATGGAGTCCTATGTCTGTAAACATTTAATGTGTGAAACAGTAAGAAAGCAGTGGCAGAACTGTTGGAAAGCACAGAATATGAAGTATTTTTAATAAAATGCAAAACAAACTGAAAAAGAGGGCTTTTTCACTTTTTTTGTTTTTAAGTGGTTTTAAAATGTACTTTAAAAAATAAAAGTAAACCTATTTCCTCCTGGAAAAGAGGTTACCTTAATAATAGCCATAGAAATGTGCCATCTGCAATTCATCTTTGGGCACTTCTGATTTCCTCAGCTCCTCTCTGATCAGGGAAGAGCTTTTCCAATGCTCCAGTCCCGTTTGTAGATCCGTTCAGCCACTGTTTCTTAACTAAGCTCACATAATATTTTTTCCTCCTACCAACTGTGAACGTTTTGCTTGCTTTGATAATGGCTAAAAAATTAGGTGATTATGTTGTTTAAAATACAAGTTACATTTGTTTTCTTGGGTGTGCTTTAAAAATGCCTGTGCTTTGTCTGTGCAGCTGAAGTTTACAGAAAGTGACTATTTTGGCAATGTGTTGCAAACTCGCAAATATGCAGCTCAATCTGATTTCTACTGGCTTAGAAAAGAAGTTCCAAAAACAGAGTGAGTAGACAAAAGGCAAATTTACATAATCTTCTATCAATATGTTAATTCATATTATTTGATTTATGCAATTTATGTTTTAATAGAATTATATACTCAGCAACAAATTAGGATACTAAAGGCCTCTGGGCAAACCCCCCAGTTATTCAGAATCTCCCGTGGATATTTTTTTTGTTAATTTCTAGGTATGCCTGTTCTGATGCACAGTAGTCATATGCTTGCAGCTTCATTTAATGAAAAAAGGGGTAATTGAATCTCAATTAAAAATGGATTATGTCTCTTGGTCACAGTCAGAATTTGGAATGGTACAGCAGGGATTTATGAAAGAAATTTTCTAAGAATGGAATAATGAGTAAGAGATAACATTATTATTAGTAATAGCAATCAGCGTTGTTAGTTACCTGCTGATGATAGCAATGATATGGAATAAAACACAATTTACATATGTTTTTATTTATTTGTAAACACCAGGGTGCAGATTGTGTCACATACTATCATAAAATAGATGAGAGAATCAATCTCTTTTCTTACTGGCGGGTAATCACATCCTTAGAAAGCAAATTAAAACCTAAACAGAACTTAATTAGTCTAATCATGCTACTTAAAAATTATTCCTTCTGCACACAGACTTTGAAATTGGTGCTGCTGCTCAGCTCCTGTGGGTATTTTCTTAGGGCTCCAGAAATTCCTACTCAAACTCAACCATACCTTGTTCTGGGGGTAACTCTGAGTTGTGCGTGAGACAGGTAAAGGATATCAGCAAGACAGGCATAGGCTATTCCTGATTAGAATGTTGTAACTTGGATCCATATTTTTGAGGGGTTATTTATAAGTTAATTTTAATTGTGAATTTTACCTTCTCATCACACCCTTCTCTGACATTGCAATGGTTAATCACAGGGGGTGATTCTACAGGCTTTCCTTCTGCCCTGGATGCCAGGGCTAGATTGTGACAGTACGTTCTCCTCAGACCAACAGTTTTCATAAGAGCAGTGAAGTAATACTTGCCTCTCTATAGCAATGGTGATCGTCAGCCTCTTCCTCATGAACAACATTGGGGCAGCACTAACACAGACTACATAGATTCTTGGCATGTGGGGAAGTCTTCCCTGTAAGGAAATTAATTGTCAGGTAATCCCTGACTGTACTCCTCAAGGGCTGTAATGTGAGAATGGTTGCATGGGTATGCTTAAAAAATGAAGGTTTTACCTGATTGCCCACTACAAGATTGAACACTTTGTCATGCTTGTCTTTACCATCTTATTTCAGGGACTACTTAACATCAGTCCCCTCATCACCCTTGTCTTGCTTTTCTTGTCATCCCTCAGGGCACATTCTGGCTGAGGGGATCCCAGTTGGATTTTTGCTCTTTCCTTTGTCAATGCAGCTATATGCTCGGCCTTCTGCAGGGCTGGGGCTAATCCCCACCTGAGCCCTCAGTCATAATTATTCCTGCTAGGAGGTTCTACCTTTGCACCTGTTTGGGGGTAGAAAAGGACTCTGAAAGTGATGTCACACTGTTTGCTTTTCTGTGTCTGTGGAGGGGTACAAAGGCACAGACAGTCATTGCCATCTCCAGTCATTTTTAAAAAAATTATTATGATAAACCAGTAACTCCCAACTGCTAGTCTGAGGTGTGTCAAATATGGTCTTAGAAATATCAGTAATTGCCAGATTTTAACTATTGTACTCTACTGCTTTCTGATGCTTTTACTTCTCTTTTTTTTCTTTCTTTTTTTTCCTGCTTTTGATTTTTTTTTTAAATTTTTATATTTCATAGAACTCCCAGATCTTTGGTCCACACCAAAGCTTGGCACTGTGTTGAGAATTACCCTTGGGGTTTTGTTTGTTCGCTTCATTTCTTTTCTCTAGTTCAGTAGCTTGTAGCATTGCATTTATATTTAGAGATCGATATTATAAGATTGTCCAAGTTGTGGACTGGAAAAGATAAATAAGAAAATGAGCGTTTAAGGAAGTTACCTGCTAGTAAAGTAATATTAGTCCAAAAATGTAAACCACTATATTTACCATCTGGATTTCTCAGCAATATTATTTCAAACTGGACTCACTTTCCTCACCATAGTCAACTAAATGGAAAATCAAAATGATGGCTCACTAAAAGCACCAGGGAAACACCACATAAGCCCTGGGTGTTACAAAACAAAGGAGTTTGATAAAGCAAGGGGAAATGTGAATATCGAAGTGGAAATCAGTTATTCTGGAAATTCAACAGTTTTGTAATCTAGAAAGAGGAAATTCCCCCAAAAGCAGAAGTAATTATCAAAAGTCCTTGACCTCTCTTCTTCTCCCTCCCATCCTAGCAGTTATCTGCCTTACAGGAAAAAGAAGTATGGAAGAAGTCAGGTGAGGCATTGCTGAGGGCATGGATGGGGGGACATAAGTAGCCCAGCTGGTACTAAGAAGCTGTGACAAGGCATGAGGGTGCTGGAGCTGCCTGTTCTGCCAGCCCCAGGGGCCAGGGTCCCCCGTGGGCACCACAGCTGCAGGAGGTACAATTTGGTGTCCTCCATATCTGCTTTGGATGCCAGCTGTGATCCTAACAGCTGGCTGGGGAGAAGGTTGTCATCTTCACAGCTGGCTCTGTCAAACAAGATAAGAAGTGCTCAGGCATCAGGAGAGAAGCATACAAAAGGGATTTCTGGCAGAAGCTGGGGAATATGATGCATATTCCTCAGGTTGAATCGAGGGAGCTGAATGGAGGAGGTGAAGCTGGAAGTGGCGAGCACTGGAGGAAGGGGACCAGGTATGAAGACAATTATAATAACCCAGGTGAGGCACAACTAAAGCAGAGGGAGGTGAAAAGCAGTGCGTGGAGAAGTGGTGGCCATGTGGAAGGGAGTGATGAAGGAGAATCAGGGTTTCAGTGGTGCTTGCTTACCCATCAGTGGAGCTATATACATTCATACATACAAATGTACATACACGTGTATGTATATACAAACACAGACCCATACCTTTTTAGCAGAGATTGAATCTGTCCTTCTTAACACTGACATCATAGTTAGTGATAGTTTGATAGCAAGGCATCAGAGGACTTCTTGGGCATATCATTTCATTATTATTAATCTTTCTCCTTTGAAGTCAGGACATCTACCTCTAAGGTTTTTAGACCTGGCCAAATCCTTCTTCACTTTTCACTCAACTTTCAGTGCTCGAGATGTAGGCATCTATTAACCCTGTAAGAGGACACAGAGGAAGCATACTATGAGAAGATTCCTGGGTGTCCTCCAGAACCTATTCCAGTTTCTTGACCACACACTGTTGTTTGTAAGCCCTGGCTCTTGGTTCACCACAGGGGAGGGCAGCTCTGAGAACTGCTGTGTTGGACGCCATTAAGGACAGTTTAAAAGCTCCTTCTGCAAAAAGGGAAAAGCATCCATGAAAGATATTGGGCAGGCTGTTGTGTATTGGAGAGATGCTGTTGGTGAGCTCAGAAATCCTGTGGGTGGACCTGGCCTGGAAAGAGGAGGCAGGAAAGAAGCCTCCTGGAACCATTTCCTGGTCTTTGAACCTCATTTTAAGCAGAGGTGTGGCACTAGAAGCTGGACCCAGCCTTACTATCCTAGTTTCTTGCCTAGTCCCAGGGGAGACTGATGGCAGCCTGGCGTAGGTGGCTAATCCTCTGTTTCTACACAGGAAAAAGTATAAAACAGTCTAACAATAAGAAGAGGAAATACATTTTTGAAAGTCATCTTGAAGATTGTCTGCCTTTTAGAAGTTTTTCTTTAAAGTCCTTTCTTCAGAAGAGATTTTTCCATATTCCAGCCTCATTACCAACTTTGTACAGCTTTTCACTTCTTACCAGGTTAAGTGTTATACATTCATGAGTTCATTTTCTTTACTTATATGATTTAAAAAAAAAAAAGTGTTACTTGGGACATTGAACACCAAATCCTGCTCTACTTGAGAGATTTCTTCTAATTAAAATGGTTGAGAGAAAAAAATTGAAAATTCAGTTTGTGCTTTACAGATAATTAAATTAACAAGCTTTTCCCTGTATAGTTAAAGTTCCCAGCCACCCCTCTTCATGGCTGGCAATGTAGTACATTATACTCTTAACTCAGAAAGGAAGATATCACAGTGAAAACTGTAGGGTAAAGAGAGTATCTTATAAACCTAAGAGAGTATCTGTCCCACTTGCTATCTCAGTGCAGATTTCAGATTTTAATTCTACAGGAAAAATCTCAAACTTACAAGTGTCAAGTCTGCAGATTAGGCTTTGTCTGATGCAGTAGGTAATAGGTAATGCTATAGAACGTTATTTAGAGCTGTCCTTTTTCACAAGCTAATAGCAAATGAAAACAGTGTAAACAATTCTAGATTTTACTATATTTAGTTTAAAAAGCTTAGAGGTTAGATAGGTTAAGATGTTAGAGTCTGTTATACCTGGTTGGTTTTTTTTTTTCTATCCTTCTGCTAATAGATCAAATGGAATTGTAACCAGGCCCAGAGCAAATGCCTAGGCAACCTGACTTCAAATAGGAATGAGAGAATTATTTCTAAATTTGCTTCACCTTAAAATTTAACAGCAACATCTATTATTACAGACTTTCATATAGTAATTTGATATGTTATTAGTTAAGGTCTGTCACTGAAGGTTCAGTCAATTCAAGAAGCTCACCAAAAGAAGATGAGAGATGGGAGGTGGAGCTATTCTGCTAGTCTTCTGAATGGAAGTTATTCTTCTGAATGGAAGCAGTCTCAGTTATTTCTGTTCTTTTGTGGAAAATGCTTCCTAAATCTTTTTAAGGGTGTCTCTGAATGGTACAACAAAATGCTGGAGTGAAAATATGCTCTTTGCTGAGTGTCTAAACATCAAATATGAAATTCAGCAGTATACTCTGTCATTGGAGAACTCTTATTCTTCCCAACTCGTCATCTCGGCTGCTAAGTCTTCTCTTCCTAACTGCTTAAAAACATAACAAACTTCATACAAAGTCATTCTTGTGGCCTCATTATGAAAAAGCAACTTGGAAAGAACTTAGTACAGTTTTATAGCGAGAAAACTGAGGCTGCTATCAGTCTCTGGCTCATATTAAACTCAGGAAAGAGGATGGACTCTCTTATTGTAGTGGTAGGTCATAAAGAAAGAAGCAGTCTCAGGATGGGAATGTTGTGATGAGTCTTAGCTGCTAGTCTATGAGTTACTAGTCTGTGAGTTCACAGATATGAAAACATGGGAAAACATGGTGTGATGTCTTCCCTTAGTAGCTGTGGATCAAATGGCAACAGCCTTTGCAGTTGCTCTCCGGTAGAGTGAGGTGCACCTCTTCTGGCAAGTATGTGCATCACTAGTTAGTTCCTGAGTAAAAATGGGTGCAAACTTGTACTATTAAAGAGGTGTTACGTGTCGGTTAAGAGCTCTTTGACCACTGTTTATGGTGGTTCCTATCTTGAATTACCTGTGGTAAGCCCCTGGGGCTGGAGCAGCAAGGAGGGTGGGGAGAAGATCAAAGTCCATTTTGAAGTATCTGTTATCTGTCTCAGGCTGCTGATCCTATGACTGGAAATGAGAGGCCCTGTGAAGATACTTGCTCTAAGAAGGATTTCTAAAAAAGGAGGACTTGTTTTCCTGGAAGCCTTTTTCATGCTTAAAAGTTGCTGCTTTAGAGCACAGAAAGGCTGTTTTAAGTAGAACAAGCCAACAGGGTGAGGTAGAAGTCACAACACTATGTGTCTTTGTTCAAACTTACAGTAAAATCTAAAGTGTTGAATGTTTCAGATGAGTTCTTTCCTTGTAAAAAGAGAGACAGAGTCCTCCAGAGCTACTGCTAATGCTGGAGAGCAAGTCCGACCACACATGTGGCTGGCTTGCATCCTTCAAAACAGTTCAGCTGATTGCTGCTATGAACAAACTTGAAATTGATATGTAGTTAATTAAGCCCCCTAATTTTTATTTTATCCCCTCACTGTAAGCATTCTTTCTTCAGTTTTCCATTAACTCACTACATTATCTCTAACATTTAATCTCTTTATTATATAGGAAACAGAAAACACACCAAAAAACAACCTCCCCCTGCTCCTCCCCTTCAGAATCTCCTAGTAAAAAACCCAGGGAGAGTTATCTTTGCAATTAAAGCCTATAATGTGATGGATGGTTAAGATATTTACATGATGCCACCCTTTGCTTTCATTGCTTAGTTTTTCTTGTTGCTGCACTGTAAAATAAGCTACTCAGCTTTGAAGATGAGAGAAGCAGATAAATTTATTGATAAAAGACAGAATGCTGCCATACTAAAGCTCTCCCCTTTGTTACATGGTTTACGTGAGAACACCAGTTGCCAGAAAAACAGTCAGGATCTGCAGATAACTCATTCATTTGATGGTACTATTTTAAAGCACAGATTGTGTATGTGACTGTCACTGACATCACACATTTCCCGTGTTCTGATAGACCTTCCTTTGTCTTACTCTTTGTTTTGCAGCTCCTACCACTTCTCTTTGAAAGAAATTTTCCAAAGCAATTGTATTGCATTCATTTGGTTTTACAAAACTTCCAAGTAATGCATTGGTAAAGACATCAGGATCTTCCTGTTTGGACATTTACTTGAGTTGTTTCTAATTTATTATGAATTAACCACTAATTCTCATGATTTTACTACTTTTCTTTTATAAAGATTTTTCCTTATAAAATCATAAAGTGAAATCTTGGGCTCACTGAACTCAGAGTTTCATCTGAGGGGATTTGGATCTTGATGAAGCCAGCTGAGATTTTCCACTCATGTGGGTGAAACCATTATCAATGTAGATGAGGTTAAGCTAAGCAGATTCATAAATCCTATTTTCTATTCAAATCTAGGTTTCCCTCCGGTATGTATGAGAAATCTAACTATGAGAAGAAATGCTAATATTCTTTTAAAATTTGTTTTGCCTTGCAAGAGGTCCATTTGTTTATGAGAATGCTGATGGCCCTGTTCATTGTGTAGGGTACAGAACCTGAAGCTGTGTATTTTGAATTTAGGTTCCCAGAAAGCACATGCCCAGGTGTCTGGCATCATCCTAATTATTCACGTAGTTGTACAGCAAAGCTCTCGAAGCCATTTCACTTGTTTCACAATTCTCTAATTTCTAGAGGGAGTTTCTCCACACATGGTTGAAAGGCACCTAACAGAGTTTTCACATCTGCTATCAGTGTTGCAGCCTCCATTGGGTGAACTTCAGCTCATCAGCCTGGCAGATCTCACAAGCACAATGGTCACTTAGTATTAAAAGAGATTAGGTAATAGGAAACTTAACAATCACTTCTCTTGAACATTCATTGCACTTAAAATAAAGCCATTAAACAATAGATATCAATGTTCCAGAAAGCATCTAGGTAGCATGTGTTGAAATGAAGAAATACTTAAACTTTAATGTACCCTGTCCTTGACATTTTGCTTCCTTCACTGAGTTCACACTCTACCTTTGCTCATTCTATTTATAAAGTTGTGTAAGTATACTGACAGCCTATTTCTTTTGCTCTTACTACAGGTGGTTTACAAGCCCAACTACTGTAAATGCTTTTTATAGTGCATCTACCAACCAGATCAGTAAGTATCTGACTTCTGAGCTTCCTTATAAAGTTCTGGTATGGGAAATGTATGTGTCAAGCTTCAGATAATTTCTGTACAGTTTTGTGTGTTTGTGACTGAAAACTAGTTCTGGAAAACCCAGGGTTTCCCACAAATTTGAATTGCTGTTGCTTAACAAGTTACCACATGCCAGTTGAGTTGCAGTGGCCATTAGCTTAAACCACTTTTATCAAAACTTAATGTTTCCGTCTTCTGGTTTCTGTAGCAAAAAGATGTGTACACATACCTTCATAAATACACAGTGATGATAACTCAGTCCTCTAGTATTAATAAATACGTAGCAATAAGCATGACCAGAGAAGACCGTGAGACAGACCAGATAATCTAAGAAGTGGTGGCCAGTGGATTTGTTCAATACCTTCAAGGACAAGGAGTGGTATCTGTAGTTAACTTAAAATTCTTACCTATATAGTCTGATGAAATTACCTTATATGTACAGTAAAACCTTTCTTCTGCTAATTTTAGTTACTGGTGGTTTCTAGAGAGCATAAATCTGGATTTGGAAGCATATGAAGTGAAAGAGCTGAGTTTTTTGAAGATGTGTATGGATTTGGATATTCATTCCCGTTTGCTTTGATGGGACTTTGCATCGGGAATTTCTACCTGGCTTTAAAAGTCTATACCAGTATTTCTGTGTACAACAGCATTACCTTTACCCTGACACTCTTCACTCTTATGAGGCTTGCAAGTTAAATCAGCCTTCTTGTTCTGTGCCATCAGCGTCTGGAAGGCAGCTACCAAAATCTCTGTGGTCTCAGTCCCCAAAGACAGGTGTGCCAAAAACCCTTGAGTGACTTCCCCTTTTGCTTCTGAATATCTTTGGGTTGCCGGCGGAATTAGTTTTTGACAGGGACAACATGAATGTATCACAGTGAAGAGGTTACAGCAGAGGACTCACAATCTGGGTCTGCTAGTTATCTTCTCCTACCTATTTCTGTAAACAGTTTTTGCCATCAGACCATTCCCTTAAATTCTTTTGTGTCTAAGTGGGCTCATTTGTAAAACGTGTGTGATAATTAGGCAGTTCTTTTGATTAAACTTATTTCAAGGCCTAGATTTCTCTACCTTAACTAGAGGGCTCCCATCATCAAGCAACCACATTTTTGCTGGTCGTCTGAGAGAACACTCAAGGCAGATTTCCCTGAGCTGATCACAGCTCAGAAGTACCTGTGAAGCGTGACAGGGGCTTTTTGTGCTGAACTAAGCACCAGCCACCACTGCTGCTTCAGATATATTTTGTGAACAGAGGGAAAGCCCGGTCACTGCAAAATGAGAACCATTGCTGTTATGTCTTCTTTGATATCGGGTCCTTTCAAGTTTCAGTGGCATTCAGCTGTCTCAGCCTCTCTGCCATGGCACATTAGAGAAAGCTGTAAGAGAGGCTGGAGTCACTGAAGCTAAGTTTCCCACTCACTGTGTCTAACAGTGTCATGAAGCAGAGAACTGTCAAACATAACCAAGCAGTCATGGGTGTTGAGGCAATTGTATTTTCTATCATAACTGCTGATGTTCTTGTACTGCTGGCATCTGACCTTGAAGTTTGGATAGTGCTGCTCACTGTCCTTTTAGGAAAAGATTTAGGTGGCTTTTTTTGAATAAAACCCTCTCCTATCTGAGAGAGGGGTACAAATGTAATCATGCCCTAAAAGCAATGTACATTAAGAGGGAAGATTTAAAGAAAGGCATAGTACGAAGTCTTCCACTGCTGACTGATGTGATTTGCAAGGGAAGAGGCCCCGACAGATGTGGGAGGAACATGCTCAGGCCTGAAGCTGCTAATAAATATTTGGCACATCGCTTCTGTGTTCCCATTAATGCTGCTGGGAAAGAACTTCACTGCAGGAGACCGAAGTTTGTGAGCCCATGCATACTTGTATTGCGTGATGTATATGCCAGGCAAATCTCACCCACAGCAGTTACAAGCTTACTGCTTTGCAGCTATGCTTTCAAGTAGTAATTCATACAAAGTTCTGCCAGGGCTAGTGATTGGCTACAAAAACTGTGGCCATTTTAAAGCCTAGTTAAACGACAAAAAAAAAGTTCTACAAAAGAGAGTAATTTGAGAATAAGAAATAAGCATGAACAATAAGCAATGATAAAATAGAATATAAAGTTACGATATAGCAAGTCCAAAAAGATTTTGAGGATCAGCTTTCTACGAACATAAGAACTAATAATACAAGCTTTTTTTCAAATACGCTGAAAGAGAAGAGTCTTTAAAATAAGCATAAGAATAAGATAATTCCTTGCATTGGAAAAATTTGTGAAGTTCTTATCCTGGAGCTTTATCTGATGGGAAGTAAGTCCCATGAAGTCTTTCAAATTTAGTGTCAATAGAAGGTACTTTATAAGAAATTCATAAATGAACTGTGACAAATATAAAGACCAAATAATATTCTCACAGGTATTTCAAAGGAATTTAGACAAGAAATTGCCAAACAACCAGCTTTGATGTATAGTTTGTCACTTATAGTGGCCTTAGCACAGGAAGAATAGGTGTGGCATGCACTGAATGCCGTTTTTCAAGAGAGAATCCAGAGGGATCTGCATAAAAAGTCATTCTAGAACCTATATGAAGGAAACTGGTTGTGATAACAACATGAATGAATAAGAGAGACTATGTGAATAAGAGAGCATATGATATAATTTTTAGAAAAAAATAAAGCTCTTTTCACCTATTAGAGGTTTTTTTTTTAATTTTGAAATTCAGAAAACAAATAAGTATGCATGATATATTATGTTTATTCCCATAGAACACTTTCCCAATGCTATTAACTGGAAGTTATCCTGGGAAAGAAAGATTCCTTGTTTTTAAAATAGGTGCTCTGAGGATCTGTGCTGGGAAGCAGATAATCTGAAAAAGAGGGCATTTTGTTCTGAACAAAAGAACAGACAGATATAAACTTGTTCCAGGAGAACAGGTCCCTCTGCTACTGATTGCTGGAGGGTAGAAAGATATACTAGTAGAAGAATTACTTCACAGATAGGTGCCTGATGCTCTTTCCCCACACATCTACTGATAGCTGCT